CTCTCTTCGAGTTGTGTATAGCGAACATGACAAAACATACATACAACATATTCACTACCTTGCCCTTCCCGAACCACATAACCAAATGAACTACGGGCTGCGCACCCGTGCCCTCACGGTAAGTCAATCATCCTTGCGCAGGGGCCATGCTAATCTTCTCTGTATCGTTCCAATTTTAACGGATGTCCCGAAGGACAACCCCTGGTATTTTGGTGGTTTTTGGTTTTCCAGATCCACGTCGTGTCTCTGGTGCACAGGCGGGGCTGCGGACATCAGCAGTGTCTGCTAAATGCTGCTCTGTGGGACCTCGAGCGGAGGTGGTGGGCGCCAAGTTTGCCCAGGAAGGTATATCAGGCCAATGGCCATTGAACCCAAGACCTCTTTACATCACTCGCCTGCCTCTTCTCTCAAATTCTTTTCCACAAACGTAGAGGGGACTGGTGCAAGCAAGGGTCCTTTTCCTGTGTGTATTTCTCCTTTTATAAGGCTGGGCCCCGCGTTTTTCCGTGCTGTGCTTATTTCTCAATGGTGTAAAAACACTATATTGCACGCGGTCGACCTGTACTACAGTATAGTCTTGACTACCGGTTGAGGTTAGACTATGCCCTTAGGGTGATGCCACGTGTCGTCGGGATATCAATCTTCCCCTCTGCGCGCGTGCCAGCAACTGCCCATCGAGACCTTCACAGATAAAGAGCCAGCAGCGAGAAGGGGTTTTGTGATTTGGCGCGAAATGCCACCTGGCTTCTTCACCTCATGGCTACCCTTCTAGCTGTCTCAGGTTAATTGTAAAATACCGGTCGGGTAATTTGTTTTTTTTTTTTCTCCAATCCTCCGGGTCGACGTCCGTTAAAATTGGAACGATACGGAGAGAAGGTTAAAATATTCTAAGTAGTATGGCCCCTGCGCAATGCCACGTCGGAGGACAGGTGTACATCGATAAATGACTCGGGAATATAGAGGGCATTATCAACTGCGTAATGGCTCCCCCCATTCGCTTCCGCAAGGCGGAACAACGCTCGCACCACGGGGGATGGTCTGTGCAACTGCGTGTCTCGCTCTTTCCCCCCTTCTTCGGTAAAATGGTCCAAGTGCATGCTTGGGATTAAGAGAGATTATCAGCGGTAAAATGGTCCACGTGCATGCATGCGTTCGCGGAGATTCTCACCGCCGTTCCGCCGTCGACTTTGGAACTAATCTATGGCTGGCAGAAGCTGTTGTTGCTGCCGTTAGCAATGTGTTTTTTCTTTTTTTGTTTGCGCGCGCAAACCCATTGGGAATGGCTCGCGCGAGAAATTTCGGTTTAAAGTAATCTTAATTGGACTTGATCATTCAATCATTTGCTCTTGCGTTTACGTGCATGTTTGTAGAGTCGTACGTGCGACCTTACACTTGTGCAATTTCACACATTTGCTGCTTGATTTGTGCATGTGCGTACGGATCTGTGTTGATTATACGTAGGAGAAGGCCGTACTCTGTACTTGGGACTTCTTGGAAAGACTCTGGCTGTAATTGCGGCACATCCTGGAAAACGCCGAGTGTGAGTATGCCCTGACTGAGGTTAAAAGTTCCGCGTATATATATATATGATATATGTATATATATGTATCGTTAAGAAGAACTGCCCGGTAAACCGTAGGCAGAGAGGGAGAAGCGGACAACGTATCGGTGAAACTCCGACGAAACAGTTTGTCACAGCCCCTCGTTTGTTGTCCTCTTCTCTCTCTCTGCCTACGGTTTTACCGGGCAGTTCTGTTTGTGACGATATATATATACGTATATATATTATCTTCACGTGCATTATAAGGACGAGAGAATATCACAGTAATGTATTAATATCACAGAGAGAGCGTGTATTTATTGCAAGATATTTCGACAGAGACAGGGAGAGAAACACACACAACACGATTGGGGGAAGGAGACGTCGGTATCCCGTTCCACTTAGCAGCAGCCTATTGCTGGAGACGTACTGTAAGAGGCTCGACAAGCTATGTATGATAGGATGTGAATGAGAGTATGCATGGTGGCAGGATTGGCAAGAGAGAGGAGAGAGGTGGTTGGTTTCTGTCCTGTGAAGACGAACTACTCGTGTTCGGATACAGCTAGAGTCGACTACAGTAGTCAGCACGTTGACTGAGGCTGACGGAGGTTGACGGGGGTTGACGGAGGTTAACGGAGGTTGACGGAGGGATTTGTATAAGCGTATGCATGGTGGCGCGCGATTGGCAAGAGAGAGGAGAGAGGTGGTTGGTTTCGGTCCTGTGAGGGAGAATTTCTCGTTCGGATCCAGCTCGAGTCGACTAATCATGACGTTGACGGAGGTTAACGGAGGCTAACGAAGGTGAAGGGAGGTTGACGAAGGTTAACGGAGCTTAACGGAGCTTAACGGAGCTTAACGGAGCTTAACGGAGGTTAAGGAAAGGGAGGGGTTGACGGACAGGGTAACGGAAGGTGAAGGGAGGTTGACGGAGCTTGACGAAGGTTAACGGAGCTTGACGAAGGTTAACGGAGCTTGACGAAGGTTAACGGAGGTTAACGGAGCTTAACGGAGGTTGACGGAGGGTTGAGGAAGGCCGTGTGAAAAGAAGTAGAGGAAGATTTAATGTGAAAGATCTTAGTAGATATATATTCAGTCTCTTTGTGTGTGATTGAGTAAGATTTAGGTGGGAAGAATGCGACCATTGGCCAATCAAGGAGCGCCTTTCCCTGCCAACTGAAGGCAGCAACGGCGCAGGACGGAGGTTGACGGTGGTAAACGGATGTTGACGGAGGTTGACGGAGGCTGTGTGAAAAAAGAGTGAACGAAGTTTTGATGTGGAAGTTGTTGATACATGTGTGTCAGCAGTGAGAAAGCGCGTACTGGCCAATCAAGGAAAGGCCTTTCGCTGCCTCGTAAAGGCAGCAACGGCGACGCACGGGTATGGGAGACCGGTTGAAGGGAGTGCACAACGGGAGGAAGGGATAGGGAGCTGCTCCAGGTGTGACCGTGCGATTAACGAATCCTCGACGTCTCCGTGTGCGCGTGTGCGTGTGCGTGTGCGTGTTTGTTTGTGTGTGTGTGTGTGTGTGTGTGTGCGTGTGTGCGTGTGTGCGTGAGAGAGAGAGAGAGAGAGAGAGAGAGAGAGAGAGAGAGAGAGAGAGAGAGAGTGCAGAGTGGGTGATTGACGACGGAAAATGGCGGCGGCGATCTGTAGAGGGAGACGAGGGCAGGGGGTTCGCTGCCTTACGAGTGTCTTGTCCTTGTCGTTCTTGGTGGTACTTTGCAATGGAGAGGTTAGGGAACAATTGCGAGAGAGCAGACAGATGAGAGCGACCTCGTATGACAACGGTGGGAGGCGGGAAGATCGTCCGTCCCAACGCCCACTCCCCACTCCTCCTGATGTTTCACTCCCATTGAATGCGCCACATGGCATTGCAGAGCCCTCTTGCAATAAGGCCAACGGTGTGAAGATGAAGACGGAATTCTTGGGGCCATCTATGGATACGGCGACGGGATTCGCATTCGCTTTAGTATTTGTAAATCTTTGCCATGCTAATTTAACGTATCTGGAGATTCGATGCCGCGATTTCGACTTCAATCCCATCCGTACGCCAACGAACATCTTGCCCGTTGGTGAAGGCAACTTCAAGGTGCTTCTTCCGCCGCTGAGATCCGCCGGCGGCGATGGCGCCGGCAGTGGCGCCGCTTCTGGGACGGATCGAAAAGGTATCGCGACTGCGACTGCGACTGCGACTGCGGCGGGGGAAAGAGCAGTCGCGACCGGGATCGCGCCCATGCAAAGTGTGAGTGTGAGGTATGTCGTCGCGACCCCGTCCGTGCGCTGGAGCGTTTATCGCGTGGAATACAATGGCCTAGATCCGCGGCAGCGCAGGCGGCGGCGACCGGCGGCGGCGGCGGCTGCTGGCAGTCTGTCGCCGCCACGTGGCCGCTCTGCGGGGAGGAGACGGCGTAGTCGAGGCGGGAGGGGACGGCAGGGGAATGGAGGAGGAGGAGGAGGGTCCCCCGCAGCCGCCGGCGGCGCTAGTTCCGCCTTGTCTCCCATCTTGAGGAACTCATCTTCTTCACCCTCTTGACGTCAAGATCACGGCGATCGGGACTCGAGGTCCAGATCCTGATGCACACGTGGAACGACTTCCGTACTCCGGCTAGCAAGATGACTTGGCGTCACTTCGTTTACAACGCAGCGGCAGCAGCAGGACCAGGGGGGAAGAACGGCAGCAGCGGTGATGGCACTCAACGCGGAATGACGACTGGCAACCACCGTATTGTCTCGACTCGATGCGATCCCGTCCTCTACAAAATAAGCAGCAAGTTGATGTCAATCAAGAGTTTGTAAGGGAGGATTGCTGGCTTCTTCTTCTTTTCCTATGACGTGAGATGGTGTCGAAAGTCGGTGTTTCTTTTCGTGGGGGGGGGGAGGGGGAGGTCCTAAAAGGAGATTTTTATGGTCACAAGCGAGGTGATGATAATTGCAGCGGGAGGGGGGAGAAGACTAGTGGTGGTGGTAGGATGAGGGGGAGGATGGAGGGAGAACCACCTCCATTTCGCGGAGGGAATAGGGGATGACAAAGCCCCAGCATTGGGATCTTGGTCCACGTGGCACCTGGACAACCTTGGCTGTCATACGTGGAGCGTAATTGTGAGTGGTTTTGTACGCCTCCACGTATCGGTGCCTCCACGTGGCAGGTTGTCAGAGGCCTGTCGTATAGATCCATGCACCGGGAGCAGTTGGGGGATACAAACCGTCTGTGTCTTTTGTGGGGGAGAGGGGGAATGAGGTGGAGGGGAGGAGGGGAGGACAAGGGGTAATCATCGTAGGCAAGTCATAATCCCGCGTATATATTGAAAAGTGTCTATTGGAAGAGAGAGGTAGGGAGATAGCAGGAAGGAGAATGCATAATTACAGTAATAAGGTCGCGCGATGCGAGCGTTGTGCCACGTGGCGCAAAGATAATCGGAGTGGCGCGAAGGTAATCAATCGTGCGCTGGATGAGCCGAGGGAACTGATGGACACGTGGGCAACAGCTGGGCGATCGCCTCTCTTCCAAGTGGATTTTCGGTCGAGGCTGTATATTGTCCGCTGGGGGTTGCCGCAGGGTAATCGTGAGCACGAAGCATCTGCTGCCACGTGGCGCCATGCTGCGCGACGTGGCGCACGGGGCAGTTTCGTTACTCGCCGCACGGGTATCTAGATGAGGATAAGGGAAGGGCTAGCGGAGGAGTGGTGAGGAAACGGCGGGAAAAAGGAGGGCAAGGAGAAAGCGGATCGGAAAGATTTGGGCCCAGAGGAGTTTGGGCCCAGAGGGGTTTGTGCCCAAGGTTGAGGGGAGAGCGAGAGGGTGGGGGGGAGGGGAGGGAATGGTTAAATGCCTGTGGAGCGCGAGGAGAGAGAAACGAGAAGGAAGAAGGCGAAGAGGAGACCAGGAGGAGAGGGAGGAGGCGGAGGAACAAATGGGAATGGGAAATCTAAGAGAAAGGAGGGGAGGAGGAGGAGGAGGAGGAGGAGGAGGAGGAGGAAATAGAGAAGGACGAAGAAAGGGATGTTGGAGACGAGCAGATGTAGATTAGATGCAATGGCAGCGAAGATCGGAAGACAGAGGAAGAGAAACGAGGGGAGGAGGAGGAGGAGGAGGAGGAGGAGGAGGGTCGAAGCGGCGACAGGACACGGGAGGAGGAGGGAGGAATGGAACGAGATCCCGATCGATCGATACGAGGATGGGAGGTTTGAGGGTGTGGTGCTTGGGGTGGGGAGGAGGGGGTTTTGACGAGGAGGTAGAGGAGGAGGAGGAGGAGAAGGAGGAGGAGGAGGAGGAAGAAGAGCATGAGAAGGCGGAGTTGCTCTCGCGAGAAGAAAGGGGCCAGAAGATCGTCGATGATGAGGAGCGGGTGGAGAAGGAAGATGATTTGCGGTGTATAAAGAACGCGATGTGTGTGTATGTATGAGAGAGAGAGAGAGAGAGAGAGAGAGAGAGAGAGAGAGAGAGAGAGAGAGAGAGAGGAAAAGGAGTGGAGACCTGTGAAGGACCCGGACACAACT